CGAACTTATTTAGAAGTGAATTATATTGCTCGTTCTTATCTTTAGACACTACTAAATTCATAGATACATGATCGGTGGTCACTCCTCTTATGACTACTGAGCGTTCTCCATTCACTAGTTGGTTTCGTCGAGAATCTACTAATAGGTCAAAATTCTTTAAGAAATCGATACCAATTATGGGTACGGACACATCAGCGATCACAAATTCCCAGCGAAGAGAAATATTACGGCCGAAATTCAAGGTTAGTTTTCGCTTGCCATATGTCTTTATGTCGGATCTATTCGCTGCGCAGTATCGATATTTTGTTTTTCGTTGCTCAATGGAGGGACGACTCTTATCTCTGCTCCCGTGTCTACTAAAAATTGCGCGCCCGTTACTCTGTCCTGAACATAGAATAAACGATTGCTCGTGGGAGCTGCGTTGATTTTCGCAGTCGTTACTGAGATTCGGTGGGATCGTTTAAATTTGCATGGAGACCTGCATTTTCGAGCTCTGTACCCAAATGTTTGATGGTACCAGCATATAGCAGGATCTGGTAGTCCCTTAGAAAATGATCGGTTTCTATCTCTTGATCTGCTGCGCGACCAACTTCTTTTCCTGTCGTTGTGATTTAGACTCGTTAATTTGTGGCATAGCGTATTAATTTCCTTTTGCAAGGCCTCGATTCTTTCGTCAACTGTGAAGTTGAGCGTTTGTGGAGTCGCGTGTCTCATTCTCTCGTTAATCTTATCGGCTATTTTAGCGATGTTATCTATGTCTACATCGCTATCTTCAACAGCGAGGATCTGCTGTACATTCGGTGGGAGTCGTCGCAACCATAACTGGTAAAATATATTTTTATCCACATTTCTGTCTCCAATTACGTTGCTCATATAAGTTTTTAACTGCGAAGGCGTTCTATCTCCGATTTGCACTTCACTGAGCAACTGCTCGACAGCTTGCCGGTCGTTTAACGAGAGAGCTTTTATTACTGCTTGTTTCAATACGTCGTACGGATTTACCGCATCCGGCTTAGTTAGGACCCCTCGTACCTTGTCTGCTACTTCATCTGGAAGTAGTGAGCTTGCATAGCCGAACTTATGTCGCTGTAAAAGAATACGATTAGCTACGAAGTAATTTTCAAGTCTAATAAACCAGAGTTGAGGATCATTAACATTAAAAGAGGGAATAGTAACACTAATAACTCCCACGGATGGTGACTGTGAAAGATCGATTGTTTCGTTATTTAAGGACATTACTACTACTAATAATAAATTGAATAGTATGCGAATACAACGTAATTGTCACTAAGAGAAATGAATCGATGAAAACAATGATAACAACAAATGGTACAATATATAAAATGGAACAGACTTACTAAATTGCACCAATATATCAATTGTTCGTGAATAATCGTTATTTATTATGAATATTATCGTTAAGTTCAATAATGTTTATGGGATAATGTACGTGCGATTAAAATTGTGATATAATAAATCCACAATTATGATTATAATCCAGATAATAATTCGAATAGAAACAGAGTACGTTGAATTTTCGAAATGAAATTATCTCGTCGAAAATTGTTTTGCGTTCGCTCGTCGAGGCATCCAATTCTGTAGTGTCGTGTTCGTATGGCGAGGCAACCAATTATATTGCGTCGTGCTCGTTCGGCGAGATATCCAATTCTATTGCGTCGTGCTTGTTCGACGAGGCCTCCAATTCTGTAGTGCCGCGATTCGTTAACCGTTTACTTCGATAACCGTTATAATTCTAAACTTAACGGTGCGTAAAATCAGAAGACAAAAGATAGCAGCAACTACAGTTTATTGTCGAATGACTCAGGTTCGAAAGCTAACAACACCTGAGCAAATATGAACGAGCGAGTGAACAGGCGAACAAGCGAAGGAAACGAACGAGGAGCAAAGGAGCAAAGGAGCAAGTAGCAAGCAATTACATAGGCAATTTATAGTCAAATTTAATAAGGGCACAGCAAAGCAAAACAAAGGCTGATATTAATATTTGTGTGCGTACATATATGGGGAGGAGTATGAGTCATCGAATGATATTTAAGCAGTCAACATTTCGGCTAGTGTCATGTGCTCTAGTGGTATAGCAGTGCAAAGAATATATGCAAATTGTTACTATCCAAATGACGATGTCTGTTAAGTAAGTTATAAAAAAGGGCTTAACCAAAATTGGCTATAATCGAAAGTGATTGTAGGATGGTTGCTATAGTATATTTAGACATTTGCTTTTTGCAAGGATTCAAACAATTGAATAAATGAATTGTATCTGAGATATTAACAAATATTTTCAGCTTTAGTCTAAATATTTACCAAAATATGAATCTTTATGTAACAGTAAACTAAGAGAATAATAGTATTTATGTAAGTGACAAACACACAATCTATTGCAGTGAAATAATTATCCTAATTATGTCAGGCGTAATGTTCATCAGATGATAAAGATCAAGACTTGAAGCAGAATATCTGGCCAAATAACTTAATATTCAGTTTTCACTTTACGTAGTTAGTACAAATTCTATCAAATTCTATCAACTACGTTATAATGTAACCACTAGTAGAAGTGACGACAAGCAGCCACGTCAAAATGTTATTCTAAGGCTACCTACTGCATCTCAATCATAAATCACTTAAGCCAATAGACAAATTGAAAACGGACTGATAGAATTTAGTCTTCCATGAGAATCAGATAGAAAGAATTTAGTTACTCATAAGTGATTACTTTGTTTAACTCTGTCAATATCTTAATAGTATGTACATTTTCTTACCATTTTATCTAAGGAATACTCATCTTCTGCAGATTTGGGAAAAAGCTGGTTCTATCTTATTTGTACGGAGATATTTAAACAACTAATTCAGTTCAGTCAAAAATATGTATTTGATATCACAGAGTGAGTTTTGCTTTTAAAGCTAGAATAGCTAAAATAACTTATATACCATTGTATGAGTCATCATTGAAGCGTACATCCACGACTATCCAAAGGGGTACAATTCAGTAACATTAGGTACGTCAACAACCATATATATTTATTAAGCACAAAATGTGCATTTATTTCTATTGCTAAATATAATATACAATAGTTAGGATCCAGGTATCAATTGACACAAGTCTTCTGGATTTTTTAAAGTCTTTAGTTATAAATACTAGCAGAAATAAGTTGAATAAATGGATCTCCATCTAAAATTCAGAAAATTCATTTTCCTAAACAAACAATTTTTATCAGTACCTCATTCACCTGGTCTATTCTATTTATTTTTGAGAACAGTTTATAACGTATAAAACTATTCAATATACTAAGGATAAGAACAAATTTGCATTTGGAACGGTATGAAGTCAAACAGTGACGAAACATCACAAATATAGGATTCATATTACCAGGCAGGGTAACCTCATTCTAACATAAAATCATTACTTATATACTTTGAGTGGAAGTTTGAATGGATATTTAAAATTGATTTGGCTACAGTAAATCGCTAAAATAATCACATTTTTAGTGATGTACCTTGATTCGTTGTAATATGTAATGTGGAAAATTATTAATTCATTTAATGAAACTGTGATATCCCGAAGCGATTTATAAATGGTAACTTTGAGAACTATTTATGGACTAATATGATATGTATATTTCCTAATGTATAATTGTTAAGTAACTTAAGTATTCATATTCATGTTCCCTTTATTATGAGCTTTATTTTGACTTATAGGCTGTTATTATACGATTTACCATTCTTGAGTTATACACAGTCTGTTAAATACTGTTCCCCCTATTCACAGCCACACTTGGCTAAATATTGTACAAATATTATTTTTGTATTTTGTGGTACGATGTGGTCAGTTTGTTTCGTATATAAACCAGTATGTTTGTGAATAGTGATTCATATTTCAAAGGCTGTTATTGGTATTCCAGACCTAACTGGCTGGGCTAGACAGAAAGCAGGACTGATAAGTTCTCGTGTATCATTGCTCTGATCGATAATTCACTCCTCTCTGATATACGGGGATCATCGTGTCATATGTTTAACAGCGTACAGACGCACACAATATAACAGAAACATAAACTACTAGGCTTGAATTTCTACATACACCCTGCTACAGATACGTGTCAATGATTTTTCTCTTTATTTACATCAGGCAAATAAGGTGAATGTATTACTAATGATAAATAGATTAGAAGACTTGTAAGTAAACCAGTATTATAAAATGATATCAACTTGAAAACCGGATGCATACCTAGTTGTGTATTCTTATTTCTTCTGTTTTCATTACACCACATCATTCCTAAAAGACATCGGTTCTATCTCAATGTGATGACGTCGAAAATTTTACGTTTTAGAAAAAAAAACAGCAATTATGGATGTTTACTGGTTTTAAAATGCACTTTGGCACCTTATATTTCGATTCAAACTGTCTCCTAAGATGGTTTTGCTCATTATTGATGAATAGTTCTGACAAATTATTTTTATAATGCTTATTCAATTGATGCATTTATAGTCAAACTAATGCTTAAATTCTGTTTAGCTTATTTTGAATAAAATATTTCATCAGTTTTGTAAAATATATATCGACTATTAATGCTGAATTTTTGTTCATAATTCAATGAGTTGTAAAATAGAATAAATCACAATTTCAAAACACCCACGTTTTCACGACCTAGAAAAACAAACAAACAAAAAATGCATTTTTTTACACAATAATAATCACATAAAGCTACTAAAGAAAAAAATAAAATCAGCGTATCACACATGATCTAATTTTATTTCATCTAATAGTAAATCTTAATTGATTCATTGAAATATGCATATACAACTATATAAATATACTAATGAGATTTTTAGATTAAAAGTATTCTCAACAGTAAGGATTATTCTAGATAAGAAAGACGTACTGACTGACTATTTTGTAAACAACCAAAATATAAACATTTTTATAGAAACCATCTAGATAAATTTTAAAGGAATATTATAAATATTTATAATTTACATTTAACAAAGATATGCCATCTAAAAAAGAGGTTGATGAATTGTTAAGAATGTTTCGTGATATAGATAGAAATAAAGATGGTTACATTTCAAGAACAGAATTATTCACGAAGATTGGCACTACATCTCCAGATCGACAGAAAGTTCATGTAAGTTAATTGTTATAATATCATAATACTGTTTAAAGTATTTAGTAATTATCTATAGTTATTAAAATTGAAAAAAAATATTCAGATTCGATTCGATCACATGTGGATCACTAGTGTCACTGCATATTATGTTGGGTAGTGACACGTAATTTCGTTTTTTTTTTACTACACTGGATAATGTGATGGATACTATGGTTCCCTTGTCATCCTATTAAACATAAACACAGAGATAAATTGATTGTTATATGAGCTATCCAGAGTTGAACAAATACTATGTGGTGATTTACGTTGATTAATCATTAATTGAACATTAACGTCATCATTATTTAGTCCTTAGCGTTGATCGCATCCTATTGGATAGATTTAAATAAAGATACCTGTTTCAGTGATTCAGCACTACACACACTATGTTTCAATGTTATCTGGCTAGAAATAGTTAACAGAAAACTAAGGGTCTATGTTTCATGCAAGTTGTACGACTGGGAGGTCTATTTTCGAATCTACCATGGAGTATCAGTTCTCTTAACAATACGCGCACGCCTTATTGCTGAGAGGCAGTTAACACAAAGCATAGTCTAGTGTTCACTTCTGTCTACCCCCAACCAAATAATATAAACATTATGGTAAATAACGACGTTCAAACAAATTAATAGTTGGTTTTCGGTGTTGTTTATTTTACTCAGAGGCATTTCGTTTCGTTCCTGGGTACATTGAGTAGAGTTAACTAATAAAGCTAATCCACACGTCTTAATGTATGATTCTTTATTTTCGCTCAACTACATATAAGAATTCTTTTAAAATAAACTAGTTTGTTATCATTCACGATTAGCAAAACTGTGTTCAGTCTATGCACTCCATCTGTTACATCTTTATACTGCGGTTTTAGTCAACGTCCCAATAATTCATAGTATAAAAGTCATTTAACAAGTGTATTTTTATGTTTGTGAATAAAAGCTATATGAAACATGAAATATGGTTTTATTCCTTCCATATCTCATGAGAAAACATACTAGTTGAAACATCTGCATTTATAAGATTAGCCAGAATAACTTAGTGATAGTCTCTTTGATTATAAAATGACTTGATATAAGTCCAGATTTTAACGAGATTAGCAATTTCCTCAATAATGCAAACTGATCATAATGAAAAGTAATTAGCTAGACGAAATTGAAGTCCATTATTCTATGCAAAATGCCTTCATTACGTAATATTATTTTTCTCCTGATAAAGTTTAGACTAAGAATTAGTTCCTATAAAAGTATCAAGATATCTTTTATTTCCTACAGTAATAAATTTTTTTAAACTGTTTATATCTTTTTCAATGTTCTAATATACGTCACTACAAATAATCGAGTTGGCAGAAAGTCAAAATTTTTAAATATTTCATGAGTTTTGATAATCAACATTAGATAAATAAATGTGTTTAGGTAGAAGTAAAATGTCGGAGTTGTTTTAGTATGAGATCATAATTTCATTGATATTGATGCTTCAAAATATTAGAAGAGAAATAATTTATGAGAACAAATAGAAGACTTTGTTCGTTTTCAGATTCTTGACTTAAAAGCTTACTTTAGATAATCTAAAATAAACTGGTAAGAAATTCGTTGGTTGTAAAATAATAGTTATCATTTGAGATTATTTGGTTTAAATGGTTATTACATACTTACTTACCTACGCCAGTTACCTCCTTTCCAGTTCTTCCTAGTTAACATTCTTCCTTTTCATATCCTCTTCCGTTTCCCTACGTAGTATGTTCTTCGGTTATACTCTTTCCCACTCCCCTCAGGATTCCAAGTTGGGGCTTGCCTCGTGATGCAGATTGGTGATTTCCTCAAACCAAGTCCGATCAACTTCCAACGTCTTTTCCTAATTTCCTCTTCAGAATGAAGCTGGTTTGTCCTCTTCCACAGACTGATGTTGTTGATAGTATCGGATCAGTGAATGTTGAGTATTTTGAGTAGACAACTTTTTATAAATACTTGTACCCTCTTGAAGATTGATGTAGTAGTTCTCCACGTTTCAGTTCCATACAGGAGAACTGTCTTGACGTTCGTATTGAAGACTGTGATTTTTATATTGGTTGACAGTTGTTGTGAGTCCTAATATTCTTCAATTGTAGGAATGCGGTCCTTGCTTTGCCAATCCACGCATTTGCTTCTGCATCAAATCCTCCTTGTTCATCAATGATGCTTCCAAGATACGTGAATGTTTCTACCTGTTGTCGAGTTTCTGCATCAAGAGTGGTTGTGTTGATGTTCTCCGTGTTGTATTTTATATTCTTGCTTTTCTCTTGTGTATGTTGAGGCCTACTGATGCAGAGTCTGCTGCTATATTAGTTGTCTTTCTCTGTATTTGTTCGTGTGTATGGAATAGGAGGGCTAGGTCATCTTCGAAGTCCAAATCTAATTGATTCTGAAAGGTTCATTGTATTCCATGCTTTCCTCAGATTTTGAGATCTTCATAATCCAGTCGATGACGAGAAGAAAGAGGGAGACGGAAAGTAGACAGTCTTGTCGGACTCCGGTCGTTACTGCAAATGCATCTATCAGCTGTCCTCCATGCACGACTCTGCACTGTAGTCTGTCGTATGAGTTCTGGATAATGTTGACAATCTTCTCAATAACCCCCTAGTGTTGAAAAAGGTTGTATAACTTCCTCGCATCCACAATGTGAAACGCTTTTTCATAATCAATGAAGTAAATGTATAGTGGCGGGCTTCATTCAATTGATTGTTCAACGATGATCCATAGTGTTGCGATTTGATCTGTGTACAACCGATCTTTATGAAATCTTGCCTGTTGATCTGGAAGTTGTGTGTCTACTGCATCTTTCATCCAACAGTCTGTTGAAAACGTTTCCTGGTACTGATAGTAGTGTGATGTCTCTGCGGTTCTCACATTTGCTCAGATCTCCTTTGTTTGTATGTTAATGAGGTATCCTTCTTTCCAGTCCGTTGGCACATGTTCTTCCTCTCAAATCTTCTTGAATAGAAGGAGGAGCAGGTTCGCAGTTACTTTTATTTCTGACTTTACTGCCTCATCTGATATATGTTCATGTCCTGCTGCCTTCCCATTCTTGATTTGCCCGATGGCCATCTTGATATCTTCGATCGTTAGTGGAAGGTTTGAGTGTGCTGCTTCGATGTGCGGTTGATTAAATGAAGCTGGTCTACCTAACAGTATCTCGAAGTATTCTACCCATTTGTTCCTCTCGGTGATAACTTTCGTTCTTTGTCCTTGATCGGTCTCTCTGGTTTACTGTATTTCCTCGTTGTATCATAAATTTGTCTCATATTTACTTCCTCTGCAGCCTTTTCCGCCGTCGTTCATCCTTTCTCGAATTTTATCCAGGGTTTCCATAGAGATTCATTCCCTATTGTAATGCTTCCTAAGGCACAAAACCTCCTAACAAAGTTGAAGGTAATGTTTCTTTGACCCCTTTCCAGTTGTCCTCCATACTAGTTTCGTCACCTTTCAGTAGATCTTGTAAAGCTTGGAACCTGTTGTTGAGAGTTATCTTGAATACACTGAGTTTGTAAGTATCTCGAAGGAAGGCTTTATTGAACGTTTGAAATGCCGTTTGTCCAGTTGTGCAGTATTTTTTTAGCTTCAATTTCATCTTTACGAACACCAGGTTGTGATCTGAAAATATGTCAACTCCACTCCTCGTTCTCACATATTCGATTTTCATGCTGAATTTTCGTCTTCGTGACCAGAGTATAGTGGCATCTCTCTCATATCTAATCTTTGCTGTGCAGCTTTAGTCTAATGGGTTCTGATGATTTTGAGTGCTGCCAATTTGTTTCTCCTCATTTCCGTTGTTGTTTGACCGGTCTTCTTCGTCTCGCACATTGTGTGGATGTTCCATGTACCTATGAAAACTGTAGCTGTGATTGTTAGAAGTGGCATCGGCTTCGTGTGTTTCGAAGAATCTCTTCTTTCATCGTTAGGTGTCATCATTCTTCTGAATGAATATGGTTTAATTTGGAGGTCAGATTTAAAATGGTCTATATTGTTTGTTTTGTTTGGCGATTTTGTAGTGAGGTTGTTTTGTACGAGATGAGGTTTCTGACCCCATACCCAACCCTCTTGCTTTATCTGGGCTTTGAACCGGCAGTAACTCTTGAATGGCTATAGACGGAGTTTGGAATGATTATACTTGTGAAATATTGTATGTATATACCTAATGTTTTAATTGTTTAATGGAACGACTGAATCCTTCATTTAAATAATGAATAAAAATATATTACTGAAATAAATTATATATTCAACTATTTAAAAATGATGGAAATGTAATCTTGATTATTACATCTTCATTCCGTTTGCAAAGCATTTCTATAAATAATTTGTTAAGAAAGCAGTCACAGTTACAAATAGTATTCATTGTAGATAGAAATATGTAACGGATATTTCAAATTGTTTGAGAACCTGCGAAACTTGCTAAAAGTGTGATTTGGATGAGCATTTTAATCATTGTATAGTTAAGAAATAGGCTCATTGTTGTAAGAAGATCATTAAAGTTTTAATAGACAAATTTATTTATTAATAAAACAAGATTACAACTGCTTTGTGAATAAAAATAGGTCAAAGTTAAGGATAAAACGAAGAACATTGGGTTTACAGCGGTTTTATGTGTAGAAGTTAATGATGATAGAAATTGGTAGTAGTATTTCATTGTCTATAGAAAAAGAGTGTAGCAGCTCAAAAGAATGAAGGATTTATGAATAGTTCATATTAAACGGGTTGTATTATAGTATATTAGGAATAGCACTTCTAAACTTATGACATAAAACTAAGACTAGAAGATATCATTTTCAAGGGAAAACATTGACTCTCATATATTGAGAATAATCGCACTTGTGGATTTAATAAATTCATGTATCCTTTAGTCTCAGACGTGAACGCTTAACAAGTGGAACACTGAGTCTGCACTCAACAGTTTAAATATCTAACTTCAATGAATCCATAATCTTGTATAACCCTTTATCCATTGGTTGTGGT